TGAGATGGTTGAACAAGAGAAATAATGACGTAAAACAAGGAACAGGTAGAAGACAAAACTTTTACCACCAAAGCTTACGAAAGAAGTTGGATTGTGATTTAAATGCGCCTTTTGAAAACAATCATAGCCTGTTCTTTGAACCGAAAGAATGAATTAACCTTGAATAATAAGGCATTGTTTATGTATAGTCAATATTCGAAAGATAGCAATTTTACTTTCAATCAACGACACTTTTTTTAAATCCGAAAATGAAAGAAGTCTCTGCCTGCTTGCATTACTTGGCCATGGTATTCTGCTTGTTTCTTTATTTAAGCTCATAACCGGAAAATAAAATATGCATTTAGATCCCTAAATTTATCAGTCGTCATTTCTCTCAAAGTTGACTTGGTGATTATTGCGTGAAAGACAGAAGAAAAAGATACAGAACATGTAACCTGACGATGACATTACGTAATTTTTTCAACGTCTTGCGCGGTCACTCAAAATCATTTCGAACACATCATTCTTAAATTAATACCAGGACATTATAAATATATCATATTATAAGGTTGATCAGACATGTATGATAACGTRGAATAGAATCTTATTAGCCGCTGACAAATCATGGGCTCAACTGCCGGTTGCTTAGMAGCCGCTCTTTCCGCGCAAAAAACGTGCCAACAATACGCTTTTAAGATTCAACTCTGCAAAACTCTACGTATAAAGGTTACACGAAGTGTTTTCCACGTTTGATGTCTTCAGCCAATGGGTAACGAGTTTTGACCATTGTGCGTGGCACAAATCTAGCATTTAACGATCAACTTAGTAAACCTTCTTCACATTTTGGCCACGTCTGACACCATAGCCATGACTCGAGCCATCCTTTCCTTAGCTTTCTGCTGCATCGTAGGTTTTTCTCAAGGATTTTTTCTTGGTGGAAATGAGAAAGATAGCATAGGGATTCCAGTCCAGTTAGATAAACTAGGATTCAGACAGGATGCAAAGGTGTATTCACATTTAGTCATTCCACCATGGAGCAGACCTTTTAAGCCTGGTTACTGCATGAGCTGGGAATGGAACACCGACAAGAGGTACAGAGATCAGAGACTTGCTATCTGTCAAGAGCTTACCAAAGGTAYGAACCAAAACTCTACTACATATAATATCCTTATTATTTTATTAACTGCACTTGTCCTCAAGTTGTGCCTACRATGTGGAAACTCCAGGCGCTGCAAACGTTTTGACTTGCGTCCATAAAGCTAACAAAAGTTTGAGTAAGATTTGTTGGATGAAAGAAAAACARAAATAAAGATGTTTAGAAGATGTTGATGTAGCACAAACGTAAAATTACTTTTGAGAACTGTCTGACGTTACGTTAAAAAAAAAACAAACTTAGTATCGTTTTGCCACGTGCCAGTACAAAACTAGAAAGACCCAAAAACCTTTCTGTTACAAGAAACAAATGAGTGAGTGAAAAATGTTTAAAAAGTGTTTCCGAAAACGCATAATTCAACATTAAAGCTACCTAAATTAGTACTAACAAAATCGAATTGCTCATAAGAAACCTACTTATAAAATCAACTACTATGTATTACATAGTGCTAGCACATTCGATATCTTACGACGCATTGTTCGCTTTTGCTGAATACTGAAAAAGTGCCTTTCTCAGTTATGCCAAGAGTAAAGTTTTCTTTTCATGCTTCGCTTTTTATGCCTTCTGCAATTCAGTCGTCTTCAGGATCATTAAATTAATTAAATATTTTTGTAAGAAAGCATTCGTAGAGTTCTTGTGTGTGTGTAATCTGCTAATAATTATGTGGAACTGGCCAGCGTGTCACTCAATGACATTGGCGTACCATGTCATTCTCGATTTGGATTTTGTTATAAGCTTTACTGTCATTTTTTATCCAAAAACGAATAAATGAATTGCTTTATCAACCTTTATTTTTAGCTGAGAAAGAAACAGGGCTTAACATTTTGGATGCAWAAATTATGGCAAACGTTTAAAAAGATTCATTTTAACTGGTCAATACTTTTTACGGTACTTTTTATAACTTTCTTCCGGATTATTTTTCTTACCTAAAATGGTGATATATGGTGACTAGTATCAGAAAAGGAGTTGTTCAACATAATATTAAAAAGAAAACGCTTTCTTAATTAAATTATTASCAATAAATGCAAGAATAAGAGCCATTCTCCATCTAATTCAAATTCTTAACTATAAATTATGCGTGTAGTATCCTAATTATAACTATGCGTCTAGTATCCTAAATAACATATCATTTAATCGTTTGTTTTTAAGGTAAACACGAGTGTGATTCACCTGGTGGATGCCGTGACAAGTGTCCATTCTCCAATGGAACTTATCCCTATTGGCGTCTACGTAACGCTGAAGATGTACCTTTCTTGTGGGTTATTTCTTCYCTTCAAATGTACGAAACTCCCTTCTCTAACAGACCACTGACGTCAGACCCATCTAGGGGCTACGCTAGCAGCTACTTTGGACCAGGTAAAATTCCTTGTAACTCAAATATATATATACTGATATATTAAACAGATCTGGAGCACAAATTTTGTTTGACATTTATCGTTCAGAATAACTTGAATTTTAATTGTTTTTTGTTAAAAAATTCTTTGAAAAACTTGGAACAAAAGAGTCTTTCAAAAAAGATCAATTCAATTCGCACGTGTCGTACTTAGTTGCTAAGTTATCCAAGATATCAGTTTAGAATGAAGTTAAAGACTACTCGAATAATTATTATGATAACTATGTTTGAGCTTTTCTACTTGAAGAAATTTATATTAAGACTATACACTTCAAATATTCTACCAAAAACTTTAAAAAGGTACCATTTATACATGGTTCTTAAAGTCGACTTTTTGTAGCGGATAAAAACTGTGATTTCGTAACTTTACACAAAGTAAAATTAAATTGCTGAAGGGAACTGTTTCGGAAATTAAAGGAATACGTACATCCTAGGCCTATTTTATTGTAGTCTTTTGAGAATTCAAGTTTTATGAGGAATTTAGAAATTGATTTTGTAATAACTGAGTATTTCTTTTAATCTTGCCAGTAAAGTTAAACTTCGTGCTACCTTTTTAGATTTTTGTTTCACTTTCTATTCTATATTTATCTTAAAATTTTGAATGTAAAACATTGTGACAGCCGCAGAAAATGTTGCTACAGCGGCTGTTCTTATTCTTCGAACTCTTATTATTATTATCCTTCAGTTTCTGGTTCTTTTTCATCGTCTTCATCAGTATGTTCCTATTATTCCACTTGCATTCGTCTTCTTCTTCTTCTTCTTCTTCTTCACCTCTTCCTCCTAATTCTTTTTCTTCTCCTTCTTTTTCTACTTCTTCTTCTCCTTCCGTCTTGTTCTTTTCAGTCTTGTTCTTTTTCTTCTTCTTCAAATTACTTAGTCTCCAGTCTAATTGCTACTTCTTTTTCTAATACTCTTTACTTCTTGCTTCATCTTCTAAATTCTACTCCTCCTCAACTGTTTCTTCCCTGTTCCCACTACACCAGTAACTGTAAATTTAACTCATATTATCCCCTCTCCTCTACTTCCACAAGGTTACAAGCCAAGCAACGCATTCGACAACAACGAAGACACTCTCTGGATCAGCAACGGCGCTGCTCCTCCAGGCATGCAGTGGATTGCTTTTGAGTTTGAAAGACCTGTATTCGTTGGATCCATTCGCATGGCTTTGGAGGAGGGAAAACCTGAGAGATCTCCTTCAATGATTTACGTCGAGGCATCTTGTGAAAAGTACTTCAGAAACTTTGTCACCATGTGGGTCATCAGTAACCCAAGAAGGGAGGCTGACAAGCGATACAGCGGTAAGCAACGCTGACTTTTAAGTATGAAGTACTTTAAAAAGTACTTCATATCTAAAAAGAATTATTTCCGAAGATAAAATGGATATACCTGCATGGATGCCATATAAAAGCATTTTCGGCATATATATATAGATATGTAGATATGAGGTAATCGTAGGGGACAATAGTTAAAAACCGGTTCCATGAAATTTACTCATATCCTTTTAACTTGGTGTTTGTAAAATTGATTATTCTACGGGAACATACAGGAAAAACTATAAATTGACTAAAATGAAGAATCCTCTTAAATGTTTTCATATAAATATGAATTTACGTGACATTTGTGACTTATTCAATATGTCGGTATTTATAATTATATTCTATATTCTCGTCAGATCATGGAGACTTCCTTACTTTTGCAAACMAAATTATAGTTACCTTTTAAATTTGACTTGATTTATCGATTTTCAGTGTTCGGAGAAGCCAAGTTCACAACCCTTGGGGCCAGCGGTCGCCTTGGTCCAGTGAGTGTTGGCACTCATTACAAGGGAGCAGACCACGAGGGAAAAGTCAATGTCAATAAGGGTGTTCAAATGTGGAAAGTACCTGCATCGGGGACCTACTCGATCGAAGCTGCTGGTGCTTCTGGTGGATATGACAAGTTTAGCGCTGGTGAGAAATGCAGTAAAACTCTACTATATAAGACGCATTCTGATTGGTTCAATGACTTATAAAATCCGCGTACACCTATGATTGCATAGCAAAAACTATATCTGCACTATCATTGGTCTAAAAAAACCATCTCAACCTTTCATTTCATGAATACTGGATGAAATATAACGTTCCTAAGATATAACGATTTTTGTATGAATTGGAAACGTACGACAAATTCGTTGCAGTACTGTAGTCGTGCCGTATCTTACAATTGCCGTAACTACGCTTTCTGATTGAAAAAAAAACCCAAAAACTTGAAGACAATGTGAAGCCATTTCAGTGCTATGTCAGGTCGTGCCGCCTACGTGCTGTAAAATAACACAGAAACAATAATGACCATGAAATTACAAACAAGGTGAACATACGTTTTTGAAAAAAATAACGTTATTTATTTCAAATGATTTATTCCAACAAAAACTTACAGATATAAACACGCCTTGTCTAACTACCTTTAGTCAATTTGACCACTTTAGAAATGAGCAAAAAAAACTGGGGCGAGTTTTAGATTTCATTGTCGTTCCTTTAGGAAGCGGTAAATTCAGAGGACGCGGAAGCCGTGTGAAGGGAAACTTTAAACTTCAGAAAGGAGATGTCCTGAAGATTCTGGTTGGTCAAGAAGGAAGTAGCAATCCAACATCTGGTGGGGCTGGAGGAGGAGGTGGATCCTTCGTTGTCAAGGAAGACAACACCCCCCTGATCATCGGTAGGTGAATACAGTTATATTCAATTTCTAAACATGCGGCTGCTTCTTCGGGTATAGGAAAGAGTGATTGTAATTCAATAGAAACAACAAGTGACAACTAGTTATATAATAGAACCAAGCTAACAAAGAATACAGCCAAAACTGGTAGATTGATATCATAAGTTTGCGGCAGGACCTCAACATGGCCTTGCTATACGTTCACTCTCAAACCTAACCTTCATGTCCTTTCATTTAATGAGAATCTAGCCAAGGATTCTTTATCTTAAAGTCTTCTGATACCGTATCTTGGTTTTTTCTAATTTGGAGGCCGAACATTTCGGACTTCAAGATCGAATCTAGATCTAGATTACATGGATCCAAAATGCGGCTACCCATCATATATTGTGTTTCATTGCTCTACTTCGTGCTAGCAACCCAAAATAAAAGTGCTAGCAAAAAAGTTTGGTTCCTGACCAGCTTTTCAAGTCTTTTGTTTCATTGCCAAGCAAATTTTTAAAATGGCGAGGGAGAATTGCGCAATGTAACAAACAATGTTTCGCTGTTTATAGCTGGTGGTGGTGGAGGAGTAGACAAGTTAAAGGGAGAATCCCCTCGATGCCATGGTACTATCTCCCAAGACGGTAACCCTGGATATGGTGGCTCAATGTTCCAGGGAGGTTCAGGAGGCAGAGGAGCTGAGGAGGGTGATAATGGATACTCTGGAGGCGGTGGAGGAGGACTCAAGTCAAACGGCAGAAGCAACAGGAACTTTGGTGGTTCCAAGGGAACTGGAGGAGAGGGTGGAAAATCTTTCGTTTCTGGTAAGTTTGTTGCTTAAATATCTGTCATTTTAGCTTAACGTGTATCCATTCCCTGGTTTGGTTGTATGTTTATATATTACCTGGTGTCTGCCGTTTTTTGTTTTGTTTTTTTTGTTTTTTGTTTTTGTTTTTGTTTTGTTTGTTTGTTTAGTTATTTTCCTTGGCTTCTTGTTTTTCTCTCTTTTTCTTTGTTTGCTCATTCGTCTGTTTTATTTTGTTTGCTTGATTAGTCGTTTGTTTGTTTGTGTACCGTTGTTCGTTTACCATTGTACTTGTTTCCCACGTTGCTTGTCTTACTTCTTGACCTGTTTTCTTATTTTAATGCATACATTTACCACGTAGATGTCCAAATCCTTATTTTCAAAAAATAAGACATTAAAAAGATACTTTCTCTCATCACCAGGCGGTGTTGGTGGTAGATCCAACCAAAACCATGTCGATGGAGGCTTCGGGGGAGGCGGAGGACCAAACGGAGCCGGTGGTGGTGGAGGTGGTGGCGGAGGATACTCCGGCGGTGCCAGTGGATCCCGCTCCAACTCCTGTGGTGGTGGTGGTGGTTCCCTTAACAAAGGAACCGAACAGTCCAACAAGCAAGGAGCCAACAACGGCCATGGCTATGTTGTCGTTAAACTTGTTAGTTTTAAATAAGCTATGAAACCTAGAATATTATTCAAGTTACCCCTTTAGTAGAATTCAATACAATATTAGTTATTACTTTCATCAAGATCATCTGAAGTATGGTCCTGACCTTGTCCATGACTGCAAGACTTATGGAAGTAATTGAAACCAAAAGACGAATGTACGACTGAACGACATTAGCTTTTATCAAAAATTTATTTTAAGATTTCTTTATACAAATCTGTTACATTTACGCTCGGCGACAAACAATGCGACGGACCCTATTAACGACAGCGACAACATCCGACCGAACCACCATGACTTAAATTTTGGAACCATCTTACTTCATTTTTAATTTATTTGCTCTTGAAGATTCGTTGAGTTTTACCGCTGTAAAAAAGTGGCACATACGATTGACGAGCGACAACTTCGACAAACCCAAGTTGAGCAACTTTAATTTTGAAAGTTTTATTTCATTTTTACTTACTTGACGATTCACAAAGTGTGACACAAACAATTGACAAACTTTTATTATCAAGTACTAGACAAAAACGCAAGGAAAAAACAATAGCCAAGAGCTACTAGTACTGATTAACAAGAAATTAGAACCACACCGACTTATGTTACTTTAACCAAGATTTGCGAACAGACAGAAGGCGACAACAGACATATTTCATGTTTGTATCAAATGACCAGACCGACATTAGACAGTTAATACAAAATACAAAATACCAAAGAACGAAGACGAAAAGAGACAACAGAAGTATTTTATGTTTGTATCGGGTAACTGGACCGACATTAGACAGTAAAAAAACTGTTTGAGTGATGGTATACAGGATATACCGATCATGACGCAATCGAACRAATGGACCATTTTCACTCCTATCGGATTGGACCATCATTTATTTATTTACCTTGCTAAATTAACGGACTTGACCGGACACGAACGACCAAACGCTTTTATTTTTGACGAACATGGAAATCGTTTTGTGGTGAGGGATGAGTTTTTGTTCATTTTGGACTAAAATAAAACATTTTACTGAAAACCAAAATAAAATCAGAAACGACGCGGCACTTAAATATGATACGACAATTTAAACAACATCGACATCATCATTCAACAACAATAACGATAGCAACAACAATAACAACAAAATAAAGAGCAACTCAACTTGCTTGACCCACATCTCAGCCTCATCGGAGGAGTTAAAACTGGGACAAAGCGATAAAAACATTCGTTATACCCCATAAGTCTTGCAGTCATAATTATGTGCTAGTATAGATTCTTTGCTTTCATCCTCTGCTCTAGATCTTTCTAGAATTTTTGCTGTGATTTTTTGAGTCAGCTGGCTATTAATACGTGCCTCACTGCACGAATCTGATGGCAATAAAGACGTTTTTTAATGACACTGATGGTTATTTGGTAAATTTAATGCATACTAGTTTGTGATAAGAATGGGTGGGTTATTGACTGATCTTGATTAAGATGCAGATTGATAATCACAGTCTTCTTCATCAATCAATGATAAATATCCTGAGAACGAAATTATGAAGGTAATTTATAAAAAAAATAAAAATGAAGTCATGTTTTAGACTGGATAAGACTAATATTATCAGAAAAAAGGAAAAAAAGAACCAAAGCAAAGACTTCAACAAAAATAAAACTGAAAATTAAAAAAAAAAATGAAAACGAAAACATAACTGATACACGAAACACGAAACCGAAAGGAGGAACTGCAAATTTCGTTTTTCTCTCTGGCTCTCAATTTTAACCTCAAATATCCCTGTATTTTATTTTATCGAACTATGAAACAATCTCTTAGCAGATTTTAAAGTTAAGGTATCGTTATAGGGTGTTGCGGAGAAAGGAAAACTGTAGAAACTTGCGAGAAAGCATCCCGAATCACACGGGAAAGACTCAGTAAAATAAGTATTTTTTATGAGCCAAAAATGAAGCTAAAATAACCATGGTCGTCTTTTTTCTTACCGTGGTTATTTCGTAGCCAAAAATGAAGCTAAAATAACCATGGTCGTCTTTTTTCTTGCCTTGTATTATGGTTTACTGTTTTGTTTGAGAAATATCATTTGTTCAAAGACATATATTTTTAAATATTCTCATTCGTTTACTTTAGTTTATCTTAATGCTTTCCAAAATGCATTTTAACTAACTAAAGAACTAACATCGGGTTCCCTAAGAGAACCATTGTAGTTCTGTAGACTTTACTATTGGGATCTCTTCAATATATCAATTTCCGCCATTTTGTTTTCAGTCGCTTAACTCGGAGGCATGGGATACATAGGAGGSTGTGGCTCACTCACATGATGCGCATGCGCAGGTGGGCTGTCACAGCTGTACTTCACTTTGAGGTCCCCTTGTCTTCCTTTTCTCTTGATGGAGCACGAAGCCCATTCTGGTTTGTTGCGTTTCTTGTTTTGCGGTAATATTGACTTCATCATTTCGTCGAGGCATCTTTTTTTCAGTAAATTGAAGTCCGACACTGGTTCATTGTCTATCTGGATATCCTGAATGCTAATGAGGTCTCTGGAGTTACACTTGATTGTAACATCACCACTTTTAGACGAAGCTATTTTATGATAAATAAAATGATTAAGAGGACGAACGATCACTAATCAAGGCCAGGCCTTACGGTAGGCTGGGTTTCCTCTTTGTTTGTGTCAAGACTCCCCCCACTCATTCTTGGGAGACGATCGAGGGCGCACCACTAAGCAAGCCATCATGGAAGGGGAGGATTTCATAAAAAACTTTGTTGTTTTAAAAATAGTAGTCTAATCCGTAAGGAAATCCTGAAGGAAATTTTGTTGCGTAACATTATTGAAGAAATAGATAACGTGTTCGTGCTGTACTCGTGTGAGTAGTTATAGAGCAGTTTTCGCAAGACTGTGAAAAGCTTAGTGCCGTATGCTTGCCGTGCCGTGCCGTGACCGGRATTTTTTCTAGAATTTCAATTGGCTGATTTTTTTCTTGCGCAATGTGATTGGTCTTGCAGTGCGCAATGCGCAATGCGATTGGTGTGACCGTATCGGCGCCGTGATCGTGCCGTGTTTAAGGCATTAATTGATTGAATGAAGAGTAAATTATCGCGCGATGTGATTAGTTTGGCGTCTTATATACCTTGCCGGTCACGACCGCGCTCGTGCCGTTAGCTTTTCATACGAAAATTGCTCTATGAAACACGCTGCGCAAAGATTGGCAGAACACAAGAGTAGTCAGATGTTTCAAGAAACATGGCACAGCGAAGCTTGCTATGTGATCTCAAATAAAATACGCGTTCCCAACAAATAGTAGATATTATGGATGCATGCAGATCAATGCAAATGAGAACAAGAAGCAATGTATTGACCAGATAGCTTCACTTGTATGATTGCGGGTTCAACTGTAACAACAGCTGCTATTCAGAATATTAGTAAAAACGTATCTTAGAATCTTAAAAATCAAATAAAAGGTTTTAGATATAACTAGTTTATTCTTGACGTACCGATTCGGTCCTTAGCCGCAGCTTCAGAAGAAGCAGCTTTCGAGTAACACCAGAACACAGTAATCACCATCACATCATTCGGTACACCCAGTTCAGGAAGATCAATCGTGCATCCCGCGGGACGAGATCCCGTGGGCATGCGGAGAGTTCGGTCGCAGTTTTTCTGTGCCTTGATCTCTATTCCAGGGTATTCATTTTCGGCTGTTATGGTATTGGCTTTGCGAGCGAGCGTTATGCCGCTGACCTTGATGCGTGGGGACTCGATGTCTTCACATTTTAGTTCAAGCGGAAGGCCCCAAGATTTGCCTTTTTTAATAAGCAAAAATATTATTAGTGTTTTTGAGAATAACGACATGACGTCTTAGAAACGACAAATACTTTCAGTTTTCTTATTTTTCTAAAAGAAGTATTTCAATTGAAAAACAAATTGATATTAGTGCTAATAAAAAATAGAAACGATTCTGGATGATCCCAAAATATGACAAAAAATCAAAAAAAGGTCAAAAAATAGATATTGAAAGTTAGGTTACGTAGCGTCGATAGTTCCAAACAGCTCGTTTCAAGAAGACCTACTTAAACCTGTTACTGTAATATCTTAATTGGATATTGAAAAACATGAATAAAGAGTATTAAAGCACATTTATAAGCCTAGAAAGTATAATCTAAATAAAAATGAAAAAGAAAACTACACAAAGTAAACTATACTACAGCTGTGAATTCAGTACCTTGAGTCATAATCGGTTATTTCATTTTTAATGAATTGTTTATCTAATATGAAAAAAATATTGATACAATTTATTATATTTTGGATTAAATAAAAATGTAGTCAAAGCTCTACCATTTGGCACTTATACTTACTTACCAATCAAAAGTTTGTTGCTTTCCCAAGGGGTGTTATCCTCATTCCCTTTACACATCCTGATCATAGCCTGAAACCGCGCTAGAACAAGAAACAGCACCACTCGAGTACACCAGTTATTGGCCATCTTACCTAATTTTGATAAAAATTCCTTAAACTTTTACTGGACTCAATAACAAAAAAACCCTTTATACAAACTCAACGAGAGTTAGAACAATTCAGCCTCATATTTCTCCCTATAGATCCAACATTTAGTAACTTCGTCCCAAAGACACTATCGATTTTGAGAAGTTGTTCACTATTGAAGTAATTTAGAGTTAATTATTTATTGTTTTAGAATGTTGCTTGTTTCATTAAAATAATCTTAAAGTTCGGTGAAATTGGCTAGAAGGTCATCACCATGGCAACAGCTGGTAGCCTTAAGAGAACGGTGATAAGAGGTTTCTTTATGACAGGTTTTTTTAACTGTTTGCTAGTACTTTAATGGGCAAGGAAAAAGAGCATCTTAATGTGACAAATGCAAAATATCGTTGTTTTTGTCTTTTCGGAGTTCCAGTTGCCCACGGGCAAATTATAAAATCTAGCTTTGAAATCACTGATTTTTCTGGTGGTTTAATTCGAGTAAAATAGGCTTTGTTTTACCATGATTCGAACCAAGAAAGATGTTCGTTAGAAATATTTCCTCAAATCCAGGCTTAATTAAAATATCAGCTTTTATAGCAACTTGCAGCAAGTTTATCATGATTTAATATTTTTCAATTGGTAAAAAATATCAAAGATGAATAAATGATTGTGGCCCAATTTGATAAATTTTTCTCGGGTATATATAATTAAAATTTATGTGATAAAGAAGAAGCAGGTGAAAAGCACCTGCGAAGGCAACGATATAGTAATAATGAAAGTCATAGCAAATACGGCGACAACAAAAACTACCAACAAACGAATACCACAAAATTAAAGTCAAATAATCTTTAACAGCTAGCTACATATAGTAGTCATTTAAATAAAACTCACCACTTAAAAGCTTTATGATGAAAAAGTTCTGACAGAGTCTGCTGTTCCCCTTATTGCCGAAACCCTGACAATTATGTTTTCAAATGGGAAACGAAAGGCTAATATATATTGGAAAAGGTACTGATCATTGCTCGAAAAATTAGGTGTTGACGTTTATTTACATATAATATATAAAGATTAGAAGAGATTTATAGATTGTCAGATTATGCTGGATATGATACTGGTTATTATCCGGTAGCTTATCAAGATAGAGTTGATAATGTCTTAATGCAGAAGTGAAGAAGAAGAAGTAGAAGAAGAAGAAGAAAAAGAAGGAGA